GTCTCAGGCACGCGGCCACCAAGGGCATCCTCGTGGCCATGGTCTGCACGTTCTTCGAGGCATTCAATGTGCCAGTGTTCTGGCCCATCCTGGTGATGTACTTCATCATGCTTTTCTGCATCACGATGAAGAGGCAGATAAAGGTAACCTGGGACGCACCAGAGCTGGATGGCAGCGGGCACACTCCTGCTGCCCAGCGAGTGCTCAGAGAGGAGGCGGTGCTGGGTCTGTGAGGTGCTTTAGGGTGGGGTGACAGTCTACGGAGTGCTTTAGAGTTGGGGGGTGACGGTCTGTGAGGTGCTTTAGGCTGTGGGGTGACCTCAGGGCCTGCCTGGTCCACGCAGAGCATGTGGGGGGTGCCCACCACAAATGCTGCGCATTGCATGTTGGTGAGGGCAGCCTGCTCCACACCATTAAGTTCATCAGCACTAGTCTCAGGTGATGCCAGTTGTGAGTGAACAGCTAGCTTCGTGAAAGTTTTCTGGCAGCAGGTTATGAAACCCTCAGTTGTGCCGACTAGTTTTCAGGTTTCCACAGTATGTCTTGGTTCTAGACCTTGCTGTTGACCTGGCAGGTTATGAGGCTCTGTCCTGCCAGAGTTGCATTGTTGGGTGGTGACCAGCATCACCAGGGGGCTGTGCAGCCTCCCCCCTTCTTCCGTCAAGGGCCCCGGGCCATCCCACACCTACTGTCCCCAACCCCACCAGCTCTGCCCTTCCTATGCCAGAAGGTGTCCAAACAGCTCTCCTGTCATCTGGGCTTTAACCATATGAGCCAGGCCTGGCCAGTGTCTGAGTAGTGGGGACACGAGAGTGAGACAGTGGGCCCTTGGGTCATTTGCCCATTAAGGAGGAAAGCGTTGGTGGGTGGGTCCCTTTTGCCAGTTCAGATTTTGGGAAAATGTGATTCTTCAGAAACTATTTTGAAGCCACTCACATTTGTTTGTTTATTTTCCCAGCACATGATAAAATACCGGTATATTCCATTCACACACGGCAAGAGGAAATACAAAGGGAAGGAGGACGTGGGGAAGACGTTTGCTAGTTAGAAGCTGGACTGAATCTATCACCCGTATCTCAAGAACAGTTTTGAGCCATTGTAACAATGCCTTTTTTCTTCACATAAAGTAGTTGATTATGAGGGAGTCGAATTTTCTTTTTAAAAAGGAGCTTCAGTTACTTGTATCAGAAATATCAGGTTCTTGAAGAAACTGGCATTTAAACCAAATCGCATTGATTTATTTTTCAGTGATGTTCAAGTGTTTCACACTGGTGGAGCCCTAGTAAGCCTGGGCATGGGAGACAGTCTTTGTGGGGGCTGGTGGGCGGGTGGCAGCGGCCTCACTGCAGTCCCAGGCGTCCTGCAAGGCTGTGAGTGTGGGGGACAGCAAGGCCTGTGCAAAGGGACCCATGTTCTCCAGGACACCTGCAGGCGGGGTTTGCACGCCCCAGGCCACGTCAGACCCCTGCGTAGGAGGGTGATGCTTGCCTGATGTCGACTGTCTGGAAGAGCCTCACAAATTAAAGACGACTTCCGTTAACTTGGTTTCGTGCCAATTTCCTAATTCTACCCCACCAAGGTGTTCAAATCAGCCTCCATCATGATGACTCAAAACTCTGTTCTTACCACCGTGATTGCTTCTGAGGGCCTGGGGTGACAAATATATATATTTTAATCGTTTGAGATTATTTTGACATATTTCTTTAATATGTAAAGAGTTGTTTCGTTTTGATTAATTTAAATTTGTTTTCACGCAATAGCCCCTTTAAGGAAACAACAAAACTGGTGACATCAGACCAGTTCTGTGGGTTTTAACACGCAGTTTCTCGTTTTCTATGGGGGAAACTAGAACTCTGACCTGCATGTTAACTTTTTTCATGTGATAAAAAAGCACACAAACTCTTAAACCTTTTACTAAGTGACTTTTTAATCCAACTTTATTAAAGACAGTGTCCCCTTTCCTGTGTTAGTCTCTCTCTGAAACCGCTCCCGGCACGGGGTTGGCCCAGCGGGCGAGTGCCTGCTCCCTGCACTGCCTGTTGCTGCCGGTGACAGAAGAGGTGGGAAATGTGCATCTGGTCACAGGGCTGCATGCTGGGATGCAGGCTCCCAAACTTCCTTCTGGATCTTTGGGCAGTTTGCTCTGAACCATGTTGCTGTCCGTCAGCCCAGTAATTTTAGACATTGAATGTGCCAGTGCTTGGATCTTCCTTGACCAGTTTCTGTCTCTGAGTTGAGCTCCTCTTGCTTTTCAGGGGCACTTTTGTATACCTGAGCCCGTATTTAGAAGCACTTCATTTACTACAGTTCTCCCAGTAACCGCTCAGTCCTCAGATGTGGGGGCGAGTGTGCTCTTAGAGCGTCAGTGTGGACTTGAATGATTGGGCATCAGATCAGGCTACTGTAGCAGCAGGAAGCAGCCCTCTGGACTCTTCTGGCGCTGACCTGGCCTTCCTCCAGGGCCCTGAGCTGCTGCCCTCATGCCCCATCTGGAGAATGCTGCTCAGTGTCGTTGGTGTTAACGGCAGCCTGTCTCTGGCATGCTGGCCTTTATTAACCAAGGAACATGGATTATCTCTGTTCCTGAACAGCTGTGTCCTACCCAGGCAGAAACAAGACTGGCTGGTGGAGGTGTCTGTCTAAAGCGGTGCTGCTGGCTGCGCTCCCAGCTTGGCGACATGGCCAGCAGCGGACAGTACGTATGGATGAGTGCTGATGGGGGCATTGTTACACTGCACACTCTTAGAAAACCTCTCCCGTTCACTCTGTGTTCTTACTGTACCACCTTTCCGTGGAACTAGTTCCTACAGATGGCTAAGTCCCATCTCTGGCATAAGTTAGAGTTTGAAACACCTGAAAAAAAAAAACCAAGAAGGGCGTATAGGTGGAGGTCGAGAGTTGCTGGAGACAGCTGGGGAAGGAGCTGCCCTGCTGCTTGGGGGCCTCTCAAAAGAGTGCTGTTTCACAAGGCAACCTCTCGTCAGTCCTCAGAGCATCCCGGGGAGAGGGTGGTGGTGGTGGTGGTTAGTTGGTTAAGTGTTAAGAAAACAAAAACCTCCCTCAAGCTGGCTGGGCCAGTCCTGAGTAGGAGCTGTGGTCTGTCGAGAGTTCAGAGCTGTGAGGCTGCCGGGTGCTGTGTGGAAGGAGCCCCCACGTTACATCCAGCCAGACACAGGCCTGTCCGCTGACATGTGAGATGTGTGCCAGCATTGCATGTGGAGAGGCACTCAGACCCCTGCTTTCCTTCTGCTCGTGCTTGGCTGCACACAGATCCCACACACATGGGCTCCTGCTGCCCAGCCTGTCTGGGCGCCAAGCTGGTCTGGAGGACGCTGGTTCGGGGTCGACGTGCTACCCACACGTGTCTAAAGCAGACACTACCTTCTGAGCACTTACAGTTCACAGCCACCAACATGAGCCTGATACCGGACTTGTCGTCTCATAAATGAATATGTTTTTGTTCTGGTCTGTTTCTGAAATTAGTTCTCAACCAGAGTTTGAGGAAGGAAAGGAAACCTAAAACGTTGTCCAATTCAGTGAAATTCCTGAAGAAGTAACTGTTTAAATTGTACCAGATGGCCAGGGGAGGTACCCTCTGATTCTCCCCTTGCTGGATTCTCATGCTGTCAGCCCCCAGGTCCACTGGGTCTAGGGAACAGCCCGTCTGCCTAATGCCTGCCCTGAGCACCTGGTCTGCAGCCTCCAGCCAGCGTCAGCTTTTCCCTGTACATGAGCTCTGCTGCAGGGTCTTGTGTGACAAAAAGTGTAAAGTTAGAATTTTATCGTTTCTGTGTGAGTAAAGTTGATCTTGAGAAGATGTTTTTCCCTCCTGACACTGAAGACGACATCCTGGTTCCTCTGGGCGCTTCCAGCCCTCACTGGGCTTCCAGGACTAGTGGTAGTGCCGCAGGTAAACCAGCTTCTGGGGTGGGAACTTCTCCCTACAGAGGGGGCACTCTGTCTGCAGAAGAAAGAAGGGGCCTCGCTGGGCGGCTAGCTCAGGCCCCCCACCACAGCACCGTCTCTGTGAGACCCCACTCCTGGGGAGGACCGCATGGCATCCTCTCCTTGCCACCCGCTCCACACCCAGGTTCATGCCGACGCCCCGGCTTTGAGCGATCTCTCCTTTCCACACGATACCGACATAAACACATCTCTGCTTCCTTCCACTTGAGACAGAACAGCTCCAGGCATCTTCCCAGAAGCCTCAAACACAAAGGCTTTTCGCCCAGGTGTGGTGGCGGTGGATGTGAGAAGCAGGTCCTGATCTCTGTCACTGCCGCCTCGGATGTGTGAGGACACACGTGCTGGCACCGGGTGGCTGTGTCATGGACGCTGGAGTGCTACATGAGGGGACGGGACCCTGCCTGCCGGGGACGATCAGCTTGAGCAGAGGAGGGTCCCGAGCGCTGCCTCTGGCCTGCAGACCTTATCTCACCACAGCACGTGCCCCTCCAGAGCTGTGCCCACCTGACTGCCCGCAGGACCCTGGATGTGCTGAGCTGGCCGAGTTGCAGCCCAGAGCTCCAGGTTCTAACTGAGCCAGACACCACTCTAACCTATTATTTCTAGATTGTTCTACTGGGTCACATTCTGAGGAGAAGCACGGTTCCGCCGTGGGGGGCGGGTAGACAGGACTTATTCTGTGTAGACCACATGGGTGTCAGGACTGGCCACACTCAGTGGGACCTCTGTAAACACCCTCTGAGGGACACTGGCATTGATGGCCTGGGGGTACTTCTGAGAGTAAATGCACGTGTCCTCTGCCCTGGTCACCATGCCCAGGGTACCGCCCCTTTGAGTCTGCAAGGCGCTTTGGCCACGTCTCCTGTGGAAATGCAGGGCCCTGTGTGGGCACTGAGAACACAAAGGTGGTGAGGGGGCCAGGGGCGCCGAACTAGTGTGTGGCCACCCAGGCTCTCTCCACCCACCACTCGCCTTCTAGGGCAGAAACGGCTGTGCCAGCTGCCACACAGCTTAGCTTCAACAAGGCCTCCACACACAACTTCAGATGCCGACCCCAAGTGTGGCCCCACACCCAACGTACTGGGAGCTTTGGAAAGATGCCTGCCCCTCCCTCCCCCCATGTCAACGGGGGCTCCAGGGACCTGCTCTGCCCTGTGCCTGCTGCACCCACCTTGGTGTTGCACCACTCGGTGATGCACTCCCAGCAGAAGAGGTGCCCGCAGGGTGTGGCTGTTGCGTGCCGGCGCTCCTCCAGGCACAGCGTGCACAGGGGGCTTCTGGGGGTGGCCCGCTCTTCTGTGTGGCTCCTAGATGGGGCAGAACAGAAGTGAGCACCCACACGGTCCTCAGAGCCCGCTTACCACCCGCCTGCTGCGTACCTGCAGTAGGACAGGTGGCGGTGCAGCTTCCACTCCTTCCTCGCCCGCTGCCTCTGCTTGAAGCTGTACAGCTGGACCCCGACGGAGAGCAACAGGTGCAGCAGGGAGATGGCCCCCAGCAGCTTGTAGGTGGCGCGAGCCCTGAGCTCCTCTCCGGGCAGGTGGCGGGTGCGGAGCTGCACAAGGTGGGTGGCCTGTTGTGACCCCAGAGGCCAGGGCCTGTGTCCACGGCCTCCACACCTACCTGATGACCACCCAGCCCACGATGGCGCCCAGCACCTCCCAGCAGCCCTCCCTCAGGGCCCCGGAATCACCTCAGACAAGGCCGCTGCCCTCCTGGAGCACGTGGTCCCACGGTGGGCAGGGGAGGCGGCCCCCACACGTGGCCAGGTGTGACTACACTGGGGGAGCTGCAGCCACATCGGGACAGGGAGTGACACGGGAGGGGTGGGGTGGGGTGAGTAGGGACCGTCTCTAGTGAGCTGAGAGCACTGGGGGAAGCCGTGTGAGGGACAGTGGAGAACCCTGGCTCTTACCCCCGACAGAGCCCAGTGCTGAGCCTGGAAATGGCCTTGCAGGACTAAAGCCCCGGCAGGTCACTGGCTCTTACTGGGGCAGAGGCCACAGGCATGGGGGTTATATGCTGCTTGCCAATTCTGCCAGCCTCCCTTGCTGATGGACGGGGCGTGGGAGGACTGTGGAAGGCTCCTAGGTTTATGGAGAAGCAGCCGAATGCTGCAGGCGGGGCTCGTGCCAGAGGGCCAGTCTGGGGCCTGTTGAGGCTGTGTGGGTCTGTGGTGCCCAGCAGGGAGGAGGGTCAGAGGCAGACACCTGGGGCCACCAGTGCAGATGCGGATGGGGCCAGAGGCCAGCGGGCCACCAGGGAGCGAGTGTGGTTTGGAAGTGATGTCCAGGGACCACTACTTGGCAACCCTAATGTCAGAGAGTGAGTTGATGAAGAGGCAAAATGGCCTGGGAAGGCGCACCCAGGCATGTGGGGAGGTGATGCCCCAAAGCCCAGTGCGGCCGGGCTGCCGGTAACTTGTGGGACAGATGCTCTGTTTTAGCACAGCACATGGCCCTTGGGGACTCTTGGTTTCCGGCCTCTCTCGCAGCCAGTGATGCGTGCCAGCCTGAGTCTCCCAGGGCTTTATCCTCCCAGTGAGTGAGGCAGGAAGCCATCATCAAGAACAAAGACAAGGTGGTGGGGTTAGGGGAGGGACAGGTAAGAAATGGGCGCAGGGTGGGGAGGACCGGCGTGATGCTGGCACTGTGGAGTCATCCTGTGGCACTTTATACGGACCCTTGGGAAGATGTCTGCCAAGACTTAACCCTGAGACTGGTGACCATCCCTGGTCAGGGTGGGATGAATGTGGGGGCATAGCTGGGGCTGGGGCCGAGCAGTGAGGAGGGCAGTGGGTGTGGCTGAGACCTGGTTTTAAGTCTGTGCTCCAGCAGTGTCTGAGTGACCCAGGACAGGCTGCTGTCCCCTCCCCCACCCCAAGCTATGAATGGACTGTCCCTGGCTTGTGTGCAGGGGTCCCTCAGGAAGGCAGGGCCCAGGGCTGCCCCTAGGGCACAGAGCAGCAATGACAGAGGATAGCCATGCTGGCTGCAGGGAAAATGGCTGATCCACTGCACAGGGCTCACAGAAATCAGGCTGCCTGTGTCTTTTCGCAAACTGTAACCAAACCAGACTGTTTCCCAAGCAAAGGGTTTGGGATCCAGCCCGAAGTGGAGTGACTGCTGTGTAGTTATGGGACTGACCACCTGGGCCTGAGCCAGCGCCACACAGATGAGCCAAAGCTGAGTGTCAGGGCCTGGCTGTACTTACGTAAGTGATGCCTGTGAGCCTCTTGGCGAGGTGGTAGAAGGTGCCACTGATGTAGAACCAGGCGATGTGGAGCTGCCGCAGGCAGGCGAGGCCCCTTGAGAAGACGTGCAGTACCTGCAGGAGGGCCCTCCGTTGCTGCTCACTCAGGCGGGCTGCATGCCGGTGCACCCAGAGCCGCACACCTGCCCGGCTGCGCACGCCAGGCCCTACGCCACCATCGGCCTGCAGCTCATGCTCCAGGTGGAGCAGTGCCTTGTCCAGCATGTAAGGCAGGACGGTGTGCAGCACGATGAGCATGCTGCGGCGGAGCCACGAGGGTACCTGGCGCCGGGAGGGGTCCACCTGGACTAGGCCGACATACTCCTCCCCGAGGGTCTGGTAGCCTAGAGAGGGCAGATGCCTCATGAGGGACCACGCACTCCCACCAGTCAGATCGCTCCCCACCCTTTCGCTGCTGTCTCTAGGGTCTGTGCCAGCGTCGTTTTCTCTGACTCAAGGCTTCCCCAAAGGCCGCCCTGCCTCCACCTATTTCCCCCTCGGTCTCATCTTGACAAATGGTGAGCCATGCCTATCGTCTGTTGGGCCACGGCGCCCACTTCTCCCGCAAGAAAAGCGAAGTCCCCACAAACCCCCGTCCCAGCCCTCTCCTAGCGCTCTCCCCTCACTCTCTCCCAGCCACACTGCCGCCTTCCTGGTCCCTAACCATGCTGAGGACACGTCCTCTCAGGCCTTCTCAGTGGTGGTTTGCTCTGCCATGCAGAAGGTGCTCTTCCAGAGGATGCAGCTGAGTGCGCCCTGTGTTCTCTCCTCTAAAGCACTCAGCGCTTCTAGGACTCTGTGTGATGGTGTCCTTTATTGCTCATCGTCCATCTCCCATCCACAGCGTGAGCCCCTGATGCCGGGACTCACTGGCCTGTGGTGAACACTGAGTAGGGGACTGTGGCCCTGAGGCCTCACTTGCCAGCTCTCCCACTAGAGGATGACTGTGGGTCTTGGCCCCAGACCCTGACTGCTCCGCAGGACGTCACTGCCCGCACACCCCTCTGCCTGGTATTCCCGCTCCTGCTCACCCACCCAAGGTCCCTCACTCCAGGGTTCTGTGGGGGCTGCACCTGCCAGCGTGGTGAGGCTAAAGTAGGCTAGGTCGCAGAGCAGCTCGATCTCTTTCCTCCATTCCAGCCACTTCCTCGCACCTGAGGGGAGAACGAGACAAAGCTATCACTAAGGAGTGAGGGAGGGTCTAAGGATTACAGACAACCCCCTGCCTCCAGCTGCTAGGCCCAGCAAGTCCCAGTCCTGCCCTGGGCTGAGATGCGCTGAGCCACACCATCCCCCTCCTTCTGGCCTCCACTCTGGCACGTGCATCTGTGCTGCTTTTCGTCTCCACTTGCCTCAGCCCTCTCATCTGAGGCCTGGGCCACTGAGAGTGTCTTCTGAGAATATCCCCACCTGCAGCCACCTCCCTCGCCAGGATGCCCAGAAGGAACACGTGAAAAGACAGCCCAGTGCCCCAAGAACACAGCCCCTGAGACCAGCAGGTTCAATCCCAGCCCTCCCACCTCCAAGTTGTGTGAATTTAAGCAAGTTAATCTCTCCAGAACCTCAACTTCCCCCACGGTGGTGCAAATGGTTAAGCTGCTAACTGAAAGGTTGGAGATTCGAGTTAACCCAGAGGCACCTCTAAGAAAGGCCTGGCAACCTACTTCCAAAAGGTCATGACCATTGAACACCATATGGAGCACAGTTCCACTCTGACACACAAGGGTCACCGTGAGTCAAGGTTGATTTTGTGGCAACTGATAAGAAGGGAATAATAAGTCGTACCTCATGAGGTTGCTCTGAGGATTAAATGGGTTAATATTTGTAAAACACCCAGAACAATATCTGGCACAGAGTTAAGTGCCAAGTGTTTCTAAAATAAATACACATTTTAAAAACTGTTTTGGTCAAGTCACTCTTCCATTCAAAACCAGCCTGGCCTTCAGGGCCTTACTTGGCAGGCCCAGCCTCACTTCAGCTGCACCAGACAGGAGCCTGGCTGTCCACTGAAACTTGCCCAACACTCTTTCTGCCTGTGGCTCTGTTCCTGCTGCCAGGAACACTCATCCCCGGACTCCAACGCTGGGGCTCCATGAAAACTGGGGCTTCTCTATAAAGTAATGCCCTCCCCGCCCCCACCCCATGTGCAAAGCTTGATTGGTGTCCACCTCTTTATCCACTCCGTCCTGGGCACTCCCCGCGTGCACTTCCCGGTGAGCCCACCGTGGGCAGCTGACCCCGGGCGGGGGCAGAACTGAAAGATGGGTCCTTGGCTCCTGGGTCAGGCCCAGACAGGGCTCGCCGTGGGCCAAGTGAGGGGCCGGCCACACCGAAGTGCCGGCGTTCGTTCTACTCCCCACAATGCTGGGACCAACACAAAAGTCAACGGCGACGCTACCACACAGGCAACGGCGCCTCCTGGGCTACAATAAGGAACTCAGACACGCTGTCTCACTTAATAAACAACGTTCCCAGGGGCACGGCGGGAACCTCCGCAGAAAGGAGCAGCCGGGGCCACCTGACGGGCCCAGAAGCGAGGTCCGCGCGCAGCCACCCGCCCTCACCGGCCAGGCTGTGCAGGGCGCCGCCAGCCGCGCTCCGCAGCCCGCCGCGGTAATAGTCGTCCTTCTGGGCGGCGCGAACCACCTCCGGGGGACTGGCGACTGCCATGCCTCGGGTCGCGAACGACCGACCTCGGAAGCCACGGCGGCCACGCCCCCCAGCTGGCGGGGTCTGATGGCGAAGCGCGCCGCGGGCTCGGCGTGCGGCGCGGACGTTGTGCGTCACGGCGTGGGAGGGGCGGGGCGGGGACAGGGCCATGACGTGTAAAGCAAGCTTGGAGGGGTGGTGTGGGAGGGGTAGGGCAGGGCCGAGGGCTGGGCGCAGGTGGGATTGTGGGCGGGACGAGGGCGGGGCCGAGACAGAGCGAGTCCTGGTTCAGGGAGGTGTGGAGGGCGGGGCTGTGGGCGGGGCGAGCTGCCCATGAGCGGGAACCAGGTCCGAGAGGGGGCGGGGCCGGGCGGTGGGCATTACGGGGCGGGCCCTGAGCCAGAACCAGGTCCAGGAGGGCTCCGTACCCGTCTCCTAGCTCGGTCTGCGAGCCCCGCGGATCGCTGTGCGCAGCCCTTCGTTTGCATTAGCTCATTTCACTCTGGTAATAACGCTGTGAAATCGAAGCATTGCCCCGTTTTACGGACGAAGAAACTGAGGCGCAGAGCGGTTCCGTTGCTTGCACAACATTCGCCATCCGGGAATCTAGATTCCAGCGTGGGCAGCCACCCCGGTCTTCTATCTTACCCTCTGGGTTCTGCTCTGTCCTGTGATGCGAGGACCCCAGGGAGGACCTGGCCTGTCCATTCAGTGACAGCCATGGGTGATGGGGCCAGAGTGAGGAAGGAGGCAGGGCCTAGGCCAGGGGGGCACAGCCAGGGGCCCAGGGTGTTGGTGGGCGGGCAAGGAAGGGCGGACGGATGAGGTGACGAGGCTGGGGAAGGGCTGGGGACGTCAAGGGTGCGCCCAGTGACGGGGTTGATTCTAAAGGCTGGGGAAGACAGGATCGCTGGATACTGAAAGCTGATCTGGTGGCTGCTTCATGGTGAGCAGAGCATGGGTGGGGGGGAAACTCCCCAGGTACTGCCAGGGGACATTGAGGCCTGAGGCAGGGGTCACCAGCAGGACTGTGGCAGCTCTGAGGCTGGAAGTCCAGGTACCCCCTCTGGTTCCACATCACCTTAATAGCTATACTGACTTGCCTTGCTCCCTACTCAACACCCTCTGGACTCCCAGGCCACACTGCCTGGTTTAGAACCCCTGCTCCCTTCAGCGGCTGTGTGGTCTCTGCTGAACAAGAGCTGAGGACAGCGCTTGGCACTTGGTAGGGGCTCAGTGATGTTTGCTGAGTGACTGACAGAATCACAGAGGCCCCAGGGGCTCCGGGTGGACAGAGATGGGCATCCTATTGCATAAGAGAAGGACTGAGGAAGCACAGGCTCAGCAGTGGCTGTTGCTGAGTGCCCCATTGGATGCCTCAGATGTCTCAGGGAGGAGGCAGAGAGTGCCTGGCCATAGGCAGCCAGAAGTACAGCCATAAGGGACTGCAGGAAGGAAAGAGAAGGCAGATGGTGGAGGAGCCACTGAGGCCCCAGCGGAAGGCATGGGGGAAGGGCAGGCTGTGGTTCCTTGTCACCCCTCTGACTTTGTCTCCAGGGGCTCAGTCACCGACCGAGAGCCTGGTAACAAGGGGACAGGCTCAGAACTCACCAGGAGCCTGGATTCTGGCCTCATCCTGTTGGCTACAGGCACAGCCACCCTTAGCGGGAAGGGGTCTGTCTTACTCTCCTAGTGCAGCCATAACAAAAATACCACAAGTGGGTGGCTTTAAAGAAGAGGAAGTTATTATCTCACTGCTTTGGAGGCTAGAAATCCAAATCAGGGCATCGCTCTAGGGGAGCTCCCTCATTGTCGGTATCCCTGGGCGTTCCCTTGGCTTGTAGGTGGGCTGTAGACATGGCATCTGTCTTCCCCCTGCTGTGTCTATTCTGCTCCACTCAGTCACCACTCAGAAGGGATTAGGTTTAGGACCCACCCTACTCTGGTATGACCTCATTATAATAACAGATGAAAACCCCTGTTCCCAAACAGGGGTCGCATTCACAGGTACAGGAATTAGGACTTCCACTTAAGTTTTAGGGGGACACAATTCAATCCATAACAGAGTATGTCCTGGTGGTCTCACAGGTCCCTGCTTGATATTGAAGTCTCCATGTCCCTTTGGAGCTTGGCCTCCCACAGGGCCCTGGGTGTTTCCTGGGTCCAGAAGCTGCCCT